TACGCGATGCACTGCTACGATCAAAGGCAGGATAGCAATTTTTCATCAACTATTATGTAAAAAATTTCCACCATCCTGTTTTGTTGCTCCTGAACCCATTATCGGAAATTCCTTTTACTTTTAGTCCTCAAAATCCCACTGCGACTATATAGTACATTTTTATTACAATCTTCTTTAATTTCACACTGGTCAATTTCTCTTTTTAAGACATTATTTTCCAAAGATTCAAAATTCCAAATAATTTTTTCTTTTGTCAAAAACTTTTTATTGAGAATACTGTCAAGAAATATATAATTGCCTAAAAGCATCGCTTTTCCCAGAAACAATCATTCACTTTAGGAATTATACTTTTGCTTATGGGTGATTTTTCATTTTTCTGAAGGTATGATACTTTTAAGCTTCAATTTCTCAACTTATTTTTTTTTTTTTTTGTTGAAATTATATGGTTTATTCTATTGAAACTAATTTATTTCATACTGAAGAGTAAGATTTTTGAGTTACTCAAAATTAATTGTTAAAAACTTTGTTGCTCCATTAGATTATGTAGTTTTATTTGATTCGCGAGTTTTTCTATTAAAAGTACACGCAAATATCGTTCAAGTAATCCAAAATAAAATAAAAGAAAAACAATTTTTATGAATAATCATTGAATTCTTACGAAGATTTTTACAAAAAATTTTTTAAATAAATGAATTCTATTTGAAAATTTTATGAAAACACACGGAAAGAAAAAGTCCGTCAACCATTAATGGATTAGTATATTACTTTGAGACGGGACTCTTTTTCCGTTGATGGTTACTTAACTTTACTTAACGATTGAAAACGAGTCATGGATTGATTAGAATGCCAGTATGTGACCAATTGTTTTAGATTTAATGCTGAATTGATATCAATGGCTGTTTGAATGTTTACGAATCATTAGTGAAAGTTTGTGAAACGTTAGTTGACTCGTATTCTAAATCGGCGCTCTTCACTAGCGCATTGTTGCGCAGTGTACCGATGCGCATTTCTTCCGGTTTCTCTATAGTCCATGTGTTTTTGCTGTCTGCTATACATATCCCTATATACTATTATGTGTAATGTGAATATTTAACTTAACTAATAATTTGCAGTTGAATTGCGTCTAGAAATTGACCTCGATGAAAATATATTTTCTTTTATATTTCTCGCTAATTAAAAAGTAGTTATTAGTGCAAAATCATTTCTCACAAGTTGTGAAAAATTTTGTTATTTGGTATATAAGAACAGTTCGCTTCTAAACTTAAAGTGTTATAAGTGTGCGTTTCTACGTGTAGTTATTATAAGTGCGAAAATGTGTTGGTCTAAAGCGTCTAAGAGTGTAAATAAAATATCGGAACTGTGCAACGAAAAAAATGTGTTCATTCTGTACCAAATAGTGTCTAAAATTAGGGATAATTCTGAAAGAAGTTGAATTTTTTGAATGCTTTTGATAGTCATAGAAAATTTAATAGACAGTTTTCTAAATTTTAGTGAACGAGTTTTATATATTGATGACAGTTTTCTATATTTTAGCAAGCAACTCGTCACTGATTGTGACTCAAAGTATGTTATCCATTCAATGATTTTGTGTCCCGTCTCAAAGTAATATACTAGTCTATTAATGATTGACGGACTTTTTCTTTCCGTGCAGTGGATATTGAAAATCATTGAATTTGCGAAAAGTTTTTAAAAATAATTCAATTTTACAAAAAATTCTATTAAAATTTTTGAGAATAATTGAATGTCAGTGTGGCATTTTATTAAATTTTTTTTTAAATAATTGAATTCCTAAAAAGCATTTTATTATTTATGAAAATAATGAAATTCAATTCTTGCTAACGATTTTATTAGAATTTTTAAAAATAATTGAATTCTTCTGATGGATATTGTTATTTATGAAAATAATTGAATTTTACAAAGAATTTTATTAAAGTGCTTTAAAATAATTGAATTTTCGGAAATAATTTTGTTAATTATCGACATAATTGAATTCTTGGAAAGAATTTTATCTAAAAGAATAATTGAATTATTTAAAAAAAATGTTACAAAGAACATTAAAAAAACATGTTTTTAAATAATTGATTTTTTCGAGGAATTGAAATTACATTTTTAAGAACAATAATTACATTTTCACAAATAATTGAATTCCTGAGAAGAATTTTATTATTTTTGAATTTAATTGAATTATAGCGAGTAATTTTACTAAAATGTTTGAAAAGAATTGAATTTTTGTGGCAAATTTTGTAATTTTTTAAAATAATTGATTTCTGTAAAAGAATTTTATAAACATTGTTTTAAATAATTAATTTTTTCGAAATATTGTAAATATTATGTAAATTTTATTTTAAATAATTGAATTCTTGTCGAAAACTTTATTTGTGAAAATAATTGAATTTTTCGATTAATTAATTTCAAATCGTATTAAAAATAATTGATATTCTTCGATGAGTTTTCTTATTTATAAATATAATTGATTTCTTGATTAGAATTTTGTCAAAATTTTTTTTTAAAAATTGAATTTCCATTTATTAAATTTTTTTTTTGAATAATATTGAAGTTTTTTTTGCAAAATTTTATAAAAAAAAATAGATATTGAAAATTGAGTTTCGAATATTTTTTGAAATTAATTGAATCGTTTTAAAACGTTTAATTATAACTGATTTTATACAAATTCTAATTTAAATAATTGAATTCCTGAGAAATTTTTATTATTCATAAAAAAAATTGAATTCTTACGAAGATTTTTACAAAAAAAATTTTTAGATAATTGAATTCTCTTTGGGAATTTTATGAAAATAGTAGATATTGAAAATCATTGAATTGCGAAAAGTTTTTAAAAATAATTTAATTTTACAAAGAATTCAATTAAAATTTTTGACAATAATTGAATTCTTGCGAGAACGACTTAATTAGAATTTTTGAATATAATTGAATTTCCAAGAAGGAATTTATTAATTTTAAACATAATTGAATTGTTGTGATGAATATTGTTATTCAACAAAATAATTAAATTTTACAAAGAATTTTATTACAGTGCTTCAAAATAATTGAATTTTCGGGAATAATTTTGTTATTTGTCGACATAATTGAATCCTTTGGAAGAATTATTTATGTAAATAATTGGATTTTTGAATAAAAGAATTATTTTCAAAAAAATTGAATTAAAATTGTATTTAAAATAATTGATTTCTTTCGTTAATTTTATTAAAATATTTGAAAATAATTGAATTCCTGTGAAAAATTCTAATATTTTTGTAAATAATTGAATTCTTCCAGAGAATTTAAAAAAAATCATTTGTTAAAATAATTGATTCTTTCGAGGAATTGAAACTAATTTTTTAAGAATAATTACATTTTTCGAGTAATTCGATTAAAAATTGTAATAAAAATAATTGAAATCCTGCGATGAATTTTATTATTTATGAAAATAATTAAATTCGTGCTAAGAATTTTATTAAAATTTTCAAAAATAATTGAATTCCTGAGAATAATTTTATTATTTATGAAAATAATTGAATTATTGCGAAAAATTTTATTAAAATGTTTAAATCGAATTGAATTTCTGTGAAAAATTTTATTATTTTTGGAAATAATTGAATTCTTTACAAGAATTTTATAAAAATTGTTTTAAATAATTCAGTTTTGTAGAAATATAATTTATATTATGAAAATTTTATTTTAAATAATTTAATTCTTGTGGAAAATTTTATTTGTGAAATTTTTCGATGAGTTTTATTATTTATGAGAGTAATTGAATTCTTGCTTAGAATTATAACAAACATTTTTTTTTAAATTCAATTTTCATGAAAAATGTTATTATTAATGAAAGTATTTGAAGAATTGCATAAAAATTTTCTTAAATAATTGATTTTTTCGAAATTTTTTTGAAAATGCTATTCTAAATTAATTCAATTCCTGTGGAAATTTTATTATTTATGAAAATAATTAAATTATGAATGAGTTTTGTTTTTTAAATAATTGAATTCTTTTGCGAAATCTCATAGAAATACTAGATATTGAAAATAGAATTTTGAATATTTTTTGAAAATAATTGAATCGTTTTAAAGAATTTGATTATAATTTGTCAGAACAGTTTTTTGATTTCTAGTATTAGCGAATGTAAAGTAAATTCTCGAAAAAACCAGAAATAGTAGCTTTTAGTAGTTGAAATCTTAATAAAGTACCCAAATAGTAGCATAACTTAAAAAAAGTAGTAAATAATAAAAAAGTAGTAAAAACAATGATATTTAGAAAGAATGCTATTAACGATGAAGAATGGTATTTTCAAAAAATTGTGAACAACACTAATAGTTGTAAAGACAAATATAGCGACAAATACAGTAAAAGTTACAATACATGCTATTTACAGAAATAGTTGTAGAAAATCGTATAGCTACGGACCTAGAAGGCAAATGACTCTCTTTTTTTCTCTCTTTAGAAAATTTTTTTTTCAAGTTTGTTTCGTTAGTTTGAATTGTCATCTGCAAATTTCGTAATTCTCTTGATTCGCATATCCTGCAATTTTTGTTGGTGATCGTGCTTGCGACAGCTGACAGAATTGTCCAATAATCTCGACGTGACAAGGTTGCGGCTGTCATAAAAAAAAAATCGTTACTCCGTGGGGGAGATATTTTCAGAGAGAAAACACATACTACAGTCGCAAATATACGTATATACATTTTCAGAAAAATATAGCGAGTTTTTCTTCGAGTCTGACGCGGACGAATTCTTTATTAAACACCTTCGTAAATTTTAAGTGCCAGAGCTCTCCTTTTGAATGTTGAAATTCCAAAGAGTGAAAAGGTACAATTTTTTTTCTCCTTTTTTTTTTTTTGAAAAACGACACACATGCAAACCACCCCTTAGCAACCTCCTTCTCCTCCCAGTTAAAAAAAAGCGACCGTTTTATGTTTTAAAGTTACCCTTCGGTAAATTGAAAACTCTCGCTCTCTTTACCTTTCTGTTTGTACTAACATAGTGAATTTATTATTCTGTTTCAGACTTCCGGTGTGGTTCCTAAATGGTCGCTGGTGAGTACTAATTGTATTCTCTTTCTAAGTGCACTTTCTTTCCTGCGAGACAAAAGATATCAAATTCTCTCTCTTTCTCTCTCTCTCCCTTTTCCGCTCCAAGGTCCCCTTTTGATACAATAGAAAATGAAATTATCGATTTTTTATATTCTTTAATATATTTTAAAAATGGCAAAGCAGATTTACTTTTAACAAGGTTAAAGTTAAGATTCTCTTAGACGTTCGTTGTTATTACAACATGAAGGAAGAATATTGTCATGCTCTTTTTTTTCATGTTTAAAAGGAAAGTTTTTGCGGAAAAAAATAACGTTAAAATAATGATTAAAAAAACAAAAATAATTGTTAATATATTTCGTAATATTTGTCTACTATTTAATTATAAAATATCGTTTGCAAGTCATAAAATAATTGTAAAAAAAAAATTCATATTTATTCAGGAATATATCGAAATTTCATGTAAGAGCGTCACAGCTCATCAATATTTTAATTTTTCCAGCTAATCTCTCGTTCCTGTGATTACATTCATTTTTGTTTCATATAATCGACTTGGAGTGAAAATTAATCACGATCAACTGACCATATACACCTGTATCGCGTGTGTAATTTACATCGGGAAAGTACGCTATTTTTATTCGTTTAGCGAAACACTGACTGTCAATTTTTTTTTACTTCTTTTTGATTATACATTCTATACAAGCACGAGTATTTTTCATTTTTTTTCTTTCATCACAGGCGGTCAATAATTTATCATTATTTTTTAATATAAACAATAATGTAACAAAAATTTAATTATCCTTGGTAACAATTACAAACAATGGTAACCATGTATACAATATTTCAGACTTCGCACTCGATAATCAATTAATTAAATAAATTAATTTTAAAAAAGTATAGCAAAAAGTAGCTTTCAAACTTAAAAAAGTAGTAAAAAAGTAGCTATCGAAAAATTAAACTTGACGACCAAAAAAACTTATTTTAGACACTTCACAAAACTGAAAAAAATTCAATTCAATATTTTTTATTTTCCTGCCTTTTTCCTAATTTTCATCAAAAATATTTACTTTTTTCTTATCCTGATAATAAATTGAATTCCTGCAACGAATTTTATTATCCATCAAAGAATTTAAATATTTATAAAAATAATTTAATTCTAGCGAAGAATTTTATAGACATTTTTAAACAATTGATTTTATTTGACTAATTTTATGCAAATTCTAATTTAAATAATTGAATTCCTGAGAAATTTTTATTATTTATGAAAAAAATTTAATTCTTACGAAGATTTTTAGAAAAAATTTTTTAAATAATTAAATTCTGTTTAGAAATTTTATGAAAATAGTAGATATTGAAAATCATTGAATTGCGAAAAGTTTTTAAAAATAATTCAATTTTACAAAGAATTCAATTAATATTTTTGACAATAATTGAATTCTTGCAAGAACGACATTATTAGAATTTTTGAAAATAATTGAATTTCCAAGAAGAAATTTTTTAATTTTAAACAAAATTAAATTCTTGTGATAAATATTGTTATTTACCAAAATAATTAAATTTTACAAAAAATGTTAATACAATGCCTCAAAATAATTGAATTTTCGAGAATAATTTTCTTATTTATCTTTAATAATTGAATTCTTTCAAAGAATTATTTATGTAAATAATTGAGTTCTTGAAAAAAAGAATTATTTTCAAAAAAAATTTAATTAAAATTGTATTTAAAATAATTGATTTCTTTTGTAAATTATATTACAATATTTTTACAATAATTTAATTCCTGTGAAAAATTCTAATATTTTTGTAAATAATTGAATTCTTCCAGAGAATTTAAAAGAAAACATTTGTTAAAATAATTGATCCTTTCGAGGAATTGAAATTAATTTTTTAAGATTAATTACATTTTTCGTGTAATTCGAATAAAATTGTAATAAAAATAATTGAAATCCTGCGATGAATTTTATTATTTATGAAAATAATTGAATTCGTGCTAAGAATTTTATTAAAAGTTTCAAAAATAATTGAATTCCTTAGAATAATTTTATTATTTATGAAAATAATTGAATTATTGCGAAAAATTTTACTAAAATCAAATAAGCAATATTAATAATAGAATAGAATTCAATTATTTTCAAAAAAATTAAAATTCTTCTTATAAAATTCAACTATGGTTTAAAATTTGAAAAAAATTCTTGTAAAAATCCCAATTATCTTTATAAAGAACAAAATTCTTCTCCAAAGTTCAATTATTTTCATAAATGTCAAAAAATTCTCGTCCTAATTTCAATTATTTTCAAAAATAAAATACATTTTTCTAATTTCAATGATTTTCAATATCTACTATTTTAATAAAATTTCCTAAAAAGAATTCAAATATTTAAAAATTTTTTAAATAAAATTGTATGCAAACATTTAATTATTTTCATAAATAAGAAAAATTTCACAAGAATTCAATTATTTTTAATAAAAATAAAATTCTTCTTATAAAATTCAACTATGTTCAAGATTTAAAAAAAATTATTGTAAAAATCCCAATTATCTTTAAAAATTACAAAATTCTTCTCCAAAATGTAATTATAAATTTAATTTTTTTAAATTATTTAATTTAAAAAAGGTTTGAATTTAAAATTTTTGAATATGTCCTAATTCGTGTGGAAAATCCTGTTCCAAAAATAAGATTAAAAATAAGAATTGTGCAAATATTTTTCTTCTTTTTCTAAAACAAAATATTAATTTTGTTAAAAAAAATTGTGATTCATAAAGAAAAATAATGCAAAATAAATAAATTTTCTATTTCTTAATCACAGTTGTTTAACAAATTTCTAATTTTCTTTAGAAGTAAAGAACAAAAATCTGCATAATTTCAATTTGACAAAACATAAAATTTAACAAAATTTTAGTCTTTTAAGGAAAAGAAGTGAAAAAAATTCTGATGTAGCCCGTTTACATGACAAATAAATAATTATTTATAATGATTATAGATAAAGAATAAAAATTTAATTATTATTTAAACAATTTTAAAACAAATTATTGTTGTTATTTACCAACTTTTTACTTAGTGCACCTAGAAAGTTGCATTTTTTCCTAATTTTACAATTTACTAAACTCTTTATGATTACAGATAAAAAATAAAAATTGAATTATTATTTAAACAATTTTTAAACAAATTAGTAATTTGTTTATAAATTGGAATCTATAATCATATGAGGTTTAGTAAATTGCAGAATTAGTCAAGAAAACTGCAACTTTCTAGGTGCACTCAGTTAAAAGTTGGTAAATAACAACACTAATTTGTTTAAAAATTGTTTAAATAATAATTCAATTTTTATTCTTTATCTGTAATTATATAGAATTTAGTAAATTGCAATATTAGGAAAAAACTGCAACTTTCTAGGTGCACTCAGTAAAAAGTTGGTAAATAACAACAATAATTGGGGGCTCGGATCGAAGAACCGACGCTTCGCAATGTTCTGTGCGTTTACAAGCGTCGATTCTTCGATCCGAGCCCTCAATTTGTTTAAAAATTGTTTAAATAATAATTCAATTTTTATCTGCAATATACATAAAAACATTATTGAAATAAAATATTTGTATTAACAAATAATTATATGGAAAAACTTTGATGAATTTAAATCGTTTTTGGAAAATAAAAATAAAAAAGCGTTTGGTCATCCCCCGTGTGACTGCATCGGAGCGCGCGTTATAAAAAATCGTTGGTAGCGCGAAGGTTAATTACAATCACTAGAAATTACTAATACTAATTACATCGTTAGTTAAATTGTTAGTGACAATCATTGGTGCCTAAAAATAAAATCGATAGTTGCAGCAAAATTTATAAAAAGTGAATGGTAGTTACAGTTTCACTACAATGGTAATCACAATCAAGAAATAAAAGAAAAAGAAAAATATTGAATCCCGGGTTAACAACAATTTAAAGGAGAAGATAAATTATCTCTATATTTTACAGAAGCTTTATTCATTTTGCGATTAAAAAAAAGTGTCAGTTGACGACAGGTTTGTCGTAGAAGGAGAGCGCGCGATGTGCATCTCTCATGCGCAATGGCCTTTAACCTTCTTGTAAAGGAGCACCGTTATACTTGAAAGTTTCATGTTGGTTGTTCCGTTTTCTCTCTGGCTTCCTTCGCGGAAAACGTGAGCGATGATCTGTCCCGTTCTCTAACTGAGCTATCATTGACGTCATGTATAATTCTTCAAATATCATTTCGCTCGATCATCAATTTCTTCCTGTGGGGAGGGGGCGGGGGGAAGTAGCCTTTCCCTCCCCAACCAGAATTATTTAATGAAGAAATTAAGTCTAATACTCTAAAAATTAAAGATGATAAAAATATCGAAAGGGAAAGTAAATAAAAAATTGAAATCCGTTTATATTAATTTTTAAGCTCTCTAAATTTTATTATAAATAATTATTTAATGACGCACATCTTGAGATTCAATATGGAGGTGCTACGCTCCATCTGCGAACGTCAAGGTCACCGCTAGATGGCAGTTCAGTTGACAAAACTAGATTCCTCGCCATCTGGCGATGACCTTGGCATTCTCAAGTGGAGCAGTAAGAATTTTATCCTTCAACAACTTTTTTATAATTATTAACTAAATCAATGTTATTTTGAGAATAATTTAAATTTTGTTTTAAGCACACATTACACTTTCTTATCGAGTACAATACATACTCATCATTTATAAATAAATAATGTAAGATTATTTTCAATAGGAACATCTTATAACACTTGATACTAATTTTTATTTCTAAATTCTAAATTTAGTTTAGCGATTTTTAAACAAAAAAAAAATTGAAACTTTAATTATTACCCATTCGAGTGGAATTAATTTTTTTAATTTAAGAAATATTAGGGGTTCGACACCCCACGAGAGCTTGGACCTATAGGCCGCTCGTCGCATGATGGGGAAAGGCTACTTCCCCTCACGGGAGCGAATTGATGACTGCTCATCATTTCACTATCATAATCCAACGAGAATTACCTATA